TCAGTTGAAGGTGCGAGCCCACGATGTTACTGTGGCGGCTGCCCTCCTGCCGTGAGGGTGCCAAACGTGAGGGGGGAATCTGCGTGGGGACGCCAACCCCCTGCGATGCCTCAGCGGCAGTTCACTTTAATGCCCAGCCTCTTACGTTTGGCCAAGGCAGCGGAGGCCGGCTGGAAATCCAGGAGCGCGGATGGACCCAGTGAATGGAGGCAAGAGCCCGGGAAATTCAAATGGCTTCCCCGCCAGGCTCTGCTTCCAGCCGGTGGGTGCATCCACGCTGCTGGCTTTCCAGCCAGGCTCCTCAGCTGTTCTTCCGGGAAGCCATTGGGTGCCTTTTCGGAGAAGGAGGAGCAGGTGGAACAAAACTGCCTCTCGGTGCCTTTTATCACAAAGGGGAAGGAAGAGGGGAGGGAGTGCTCCTGCGCTTTCTGCCCGGCCTCGTTACCAGAGAGCAGGAGAAACTCCACATCCAGCATCAGGTTGGGTGAGAGAGTTCAAGGCAGCCGGAGTCAGAAGTAAGACAGAAGAGGGGACTGAGGCAGCTCCTTTTTGCCCGTCATGAGGTGGACCCCCTTCCTCACAGGGCGATGGAGCAGCATGCCATGGGGTTGTGTCAGGGACTGGGGGAGAGAGAGAAAGAAACCCCTCCATGGGAGACTGCGGTGTTGATTGTAACCCGAGCATGAAGAGGGGAGCATGAAATGGCATTTGCTTGTTGTTGCAAGCAATGCTCTCAAGTCTTAGGTAGTCCTTGACAGGTTGGCATACGTTCATCAGATGAGCATGGCTCAGAGACTTTTGTTTTCTGTGCCTGTTTCTGTCCGTGGAAGAACCTCTTTTAAATCCAGTGTCTCAAAAGCTGAAGAGAGCAGCCTATGGATTGGATGGATTCAATCTGCCATATCGTTATATTTGTAGCTGAATATTTATTCCACCCTATTTATTTTTAGCCCTGAAAATAAAGGATTTAGTCTGCTGACCATTGCCAGTGCAAAGGGGAAGGCACCACCTCCTGGCCTCCCCGGCTCCAGTTTGCAGGGATCGGCAACAGGGCGGAGTTGGCATTTTCTTTCCCACCTCGCCCCAATCAGCTCTGCAAAGCAGGCTGGCAACACCCGCCGCCCCGTCTGGTGGGAAATAGGCTGGGAGGCGATTTCTTCACCTTTGCAGCAACAGCCCTCCCCACGCTGAGAGAGAGAGGGAGAGGGAGAGGTAGGGTGTGTGTGTGTGTGTGTTGGCAGGGGAGAAGGCGACAGTGGGCCCGTCAACCAGGAAGGCATGGGAGGGCAGGGAAAGCCAGCCAATCAGGGCGCACGGGGAATAAACTGCGCAGCGCCCGCAAGAGCAACGACCAGGGGGAGTGAGGGCTGCACCGCCGCCTTCCCTCGTGTCCACCACGACTGGCCTCAACGTGAACTGGGGAGCAGCTCTTTTGTACGCCGCGAGAGAGCCCCGGGTGCCGCTCCCGGGACATTTTTACATGTGAGGCTGAAGAACAGCAGCGCCCTGCCTGAGCTCGTGGTCGTAGGTAGAGAGGACAGACAAGGATGGCTGTGGCGTTTGGTGTGAAAGAGGGAGAGAAAGGGAGACGGAGGGAGGCAATGACTTCTTCCTCCTTCAACGGCCCCCCATGCCGAGCAGGTGTGTGTGTGTGTGTGTGTGTGTGTCTCTGGCATTCCTTGAGCTCTGTACCACATGCACATAATTAAAAACGAATCTCAGCACTGCACCGCGAGCGTGACGCCCACTCACAGGCATGGGGGTGCCCCACCCACTCACGAGTGTAGGGTGCCCGGCCCCCCCACTGGTCCGCGCACGAAGCCAGTACCCCCCAATGATCCGCGGTCCCAAAAACGTTGAGGACCACTGCCTTATAGTAATAATCCCGGTTTCTGAATTTCAAGTGGGAATGTCAGTGGTGTTGAAGTTTTCAATAAGAAATGATAAACCTGAACAGTCTTGTTGTTCGATAATGTGTTGTCTTTTAATATGTAGTTAACACCTTTAATTAGCTTTTAGTTCCCTATGTCTGCAAGACTGAAGCAAGACCTTTTCTCTATAGAGCAGTGGTCCCCAAGCTTTTTAACCCCACGGACCGGCTAGGGAAGGTAAGGCACCCCCCCCACTCATGCGCATCCACAAAGGAGTGTGTGTGCACATGTGCAAAGGAGTGGGAGGGCACTTATGCACATACGTGAAGGAGCAGGAGCATGGTTATGTGGGAACGGGTACGCTCGTATGCATGTGCGAAGGGAAGTGAGGCGCTCAGGAGGTGCGTGCTGGGGAGAAGTCTGTCTCCGTGTCCTGGTCTCACTCAGGCCACGGACTGGCACTGGGCCACGGACCAGGGGTTGGGACCTCTGCTATAGAGCATAGGACTGTATTACAAATGTACATGTTGATACTAAAGTTACATAATATAGCAAGTTTACTTCAGCACATGGAAAGGAGATACAGTGGGGTCTTGACTTAAGAACGGCTTGAGTTAAGAACATTTTGACTTAAGAACCACTCTCATAGGAAAATATTGACTTGACTTAAGTACTTAGATTTGAGTTAAGAACTGAAAAAAACCCACGTGGGAGGCAGGGAAAGTGCAAAATTTGAACTTTCAGTTAACTGTTGGCCAGTGAAAAGGGTGCCTGTCTGCTTCCTCCCTCCTCCCAGCGTTTAGAGAGTGGATTGGGAGACAGTCTTCAGACTGCCTGGTCCTGGACTGCCTGGACTGTATTTTCCCTGCCTTCCCTGAACCTTTCTTGACCTAAGAAAAAAAGAAACAAAATATTCCCCCTCTAGTGGTCGAAGGCGGAATAGCAGCTTCCCATTAGTTTCTATGGACGGAAAAGAGCAGATACGGATCAAATGGTTTTCAATGCATTTCTATGGAAAATGCAGATTTGACCTGAGAACTTTTTGACTTGAGAACCGCCTTCCAATACGGATTAAATTCTCAAGTCAAGACCGCACTGTATGCTTGCCTATTTTCAGAACAGTAGTTGGGCTAGAGTGTGATACAGTCCTGTATCTGAGGCTGTCAGGATCCTCTCAGCTTCTTTGCAAAATTTTACTTCTATACTGAAAATAACTGCTGACAGCTAAAGTTGGTCTACTTGTATAAGAAAAGCCATTTAGGCAGGCACAGATCTATAGACATATGGCATGCTTGGGTAACATTTCATTGCTTATAAAGAATGAGCCAATATGGAGATGAATGTTATCTACAAGTGGCAACAGGTAAAATAAATGTTGGATTTTCTATCTGTGATTTGTTTATTGTGATGTTTGAAATGTGCACTTTTGCATCTTTTGTATCAGTACCATGCTTGTAAAATTGTGGATTGATTGTTTGCTTATGATTATGGATTTTGGGGGGGATTGATAACCTGGAGTGAATAAAACCACAGATTAGGATCATGGTTTGTTTGTAGGACCACAGGGTGCAAGAACATGCTGTGTGTGAATGATAAATCAGATTTGGAAATGGGCTCTTTGTTAATGACTGTAAAAAGAAGGTAATAGAAGTAGCATGGCGGGCTTGAACCAGAGTTATGGTAGTATTAAGATTTTCCCATTGGATTTTCCACAAAGGGCCCTCTCAGAGAGTCTCCTGATGTTTCCCTGTCTTCCTGTATGCTGAATGAACCAAGGATCATAGCTTAGTGTAGCTTTGGTTTCCCTTACCATTGCTTTTGTGTCATGTTTTTTAGATTGTGACCCTGCAGGCAAGTATTATTTTGTTCTTAATAACCATAATATGTAAGCCTTTCTGAAAGATTTTTTTCAGCTGAAGAACAGGATAAAATATTTTAATTTAAATAGAATGAATGACTAAAATTGAGATTTTAGAAGCAGGGTGCAGTTTTTTTTCTCGAGAACAAGTAATTTTACGTCTTTGATAACTAGACATAAAATTTCTGAATTTTTCTCTCTCTTTTTTGTGGAAAAATTGACATTTTTGAAAGTTTTACATCTCTATTGGTAACATTGCCTTTTCAAATGCCACCCCTTCCCTTTTTCAAACACATGGCATTGAGGCACGATTTAATATTAGTGCCTGTACTCTTTCAGCTGAGTTCACATTAAATTACATTTCTTCTTTATGAGAATTTGAATTTTTGTTATATTTCTTGGAAGCTGTAGCAATAGCAGTGGTGGATTATTGGTACTTTCAATTGATTGATTGATTGATTGATTGATTGATTGATTGATTGATTGTATTTATACCCCGCCTATCTAGTCATTTCGACCACTCTAGGTGGCTTACAACATAACAAGTTCTAAAATTTTTTATAACAATTAATTAATTAAATCATTCTATAAGATGGGAAAAATAAAAATAAATCAAATAAAGAGGGAAAAAAGGAAAGAGAACAGGAATTAACTGGAAGGGAAGGCCTGCCTATACATCCATGTTTTTAGTTGGTTCTTAAAAGTACCCAGCGAGGGTGCAGCGCGAATCTCCGGAGGTAGGTTATTCCAGAGACGAGGAGCCACCGCCGAGAAAGCCCGGTTTCTAGTTCTTTCTTTCCGGCCTTATTTCTTTCCTTCAGCGTCAGGCTCCTCAGCCTCACCTCCTCAATTACTTGACAAACACTGGTTATGTAAATCACTTTAAAACGGTACATAAAAATTAATGATTTTTTAAAAAATGCATTTATTCAAATAATGATTTAAATAAAAAATTAAAAATTTAAATAATCAATAATCTGATTTTTAAAGCATTTACTGTAAATTATGACTTAAATCAAACCCACCATGCTTTAAAACCCTGGGTGCTGGGAGGGGGTATCAATGGCATTCCCAGTATTTCAATTTGTGAGATTTGTCCAATATAGCTCTTCTGTATAATGCAGATCTCATAGTTACTTCAACTTAGCAGCTAAGAAAAATGTGTGACTTTTTAACTAAGTGTGCCTCTTTTTAAAGAAAATTACCTGGTTAATGGCAGTTTTGGTATTGCCAGAACAAATTGTCTTAGATTTCTTTCTTTTTATTCGCAGCAACTGGAGCAGATCCAGAAGGAGCTGAGTGTTTTGGAAGAAGATATTAAACGAGTAGAGGTTAGATACCTAACCATTATTGTAACTTGAGCAGTTTTTGGTTTCTGTAGAAATGTCTGCCTCTCTTTTGTTTTTTTTTAAATTTATGCAGCTTTCGTCAGGAAAAATGAGAAAAAGAGCAAATTAAAATCTGTTAGTTCATTTGCTCTCTTGAATGCTTGTAGTCGAATGCTTGATGAGAGGGCATTTCAAATACTTGTGTACCTCCAAAATGGCAAGTTAGTTTTCAGTATTTTTTTTTTTGTGTGTGTGTGTTTATATGTGTACCTCTTTTTATTTGTTCCAAATACATACTCCTTGTGACATACTGTGAATTTGATGGCTTATGTTGAGGTGGGAGAATACTCATCCTACTTATTTTATGAATTGAAATTCTGACCACAGTATGATAGTGTAAACAAAAAGTTTCAGCTGAGTCATCAGTCCAGTTGAAATAAAAGAAAGCTATATTATCTTTATACAATACAAATGCAGGAGTAGGCAATACCTTTATAAAGTGGCTATATCCAGTGGATCTTTTATTGTGAATCATGAACTATCCATTTTTTGTTTCTGGATTGTAAAATGGATTGATTGATGTATAATATCACTGTCCCTCCCTTTCATCTTCTGCAAGTTGCTCCAGTGACATGGGGTCCCAGCTTTTCCACATGGCTGCAGCAGGCATAGATGTTGGCGCAAAACTGGCGTAAAGTTAGCAGAATCTTATCCAGTCCAGGAAGTCCAAATAACTCACACACACACAGGCAGCTTCTCCCAACACCAAAGTATATTTACAGTATATACAGTAGTTCCAACTGGCAGCACGACAGGATGACATCCAAGGAAGAGAACTGATACATCTTCAGTACACATATATATTTGCATACAGCCAATCACTGCAGATGTTGCATCATCCATGACTCAGCAATCTGCATGTCTCAGCATCTTGCACATCTGTGCAAACATGGCTGCTAATTTACACAAACCTTGTTCTGTCTCAGGTTTGGAAATTATCCTTGACAATAGAAATATTTTGGAATGATGTGAGCAAGGCACATTTGGGGATCTTGTTTAGAAAGACCTTTGATATTGGTAGTGTTTACGTGGTTGTATTTTTGTTCTGTAATTTCTCTGTTTTTTTCTTCCTTTCTCTTGTTTGACATGGAGTGAAGGACCTTCCTCCCCCCCCCCCCCCCCGGGGGGGCCCTTTTAATTAAGTGGGGGAGAGGGGGGGA